TATATATATATATATACGGTATATATAGCATGATACAGGGGAGCGGAGCAGGAGGAAGAGGCATACAAACAATTAACGCAAAACAAACGGTGAAAAGATGTTGGGAAAGCAGTAAATACAAGGGTACTCGACACCCACTATCTCATATTGGCGAAGGATAGCTCCGTGTGTGGGCATAAAAGAGATGGAAGAAAAAGGACGGCACTGTGATGCGTCCCCTCACGCACCCTATGGTCACTGGCCTCGCCAAATACGCAGAGACACCCGCAGTAGCGCTCTCCACACCTACAATCCCTACTTTCTTCAGCAACATTCCGAAGCAGCAGCAACAACAACTCACTTCACAAACGGCACCGGTCCAATAAACTTGGAAGGCTCCGCTGACAACTCACCGAAGTCAGCGCTGAGCAGCGTGGGTGACAGCAGCCCCTGCGCCGCCGCTGCCGGTGGGTTCACACCAAGCACAACAATGCGGCCAGGCTGCTGCTGCTGCTCGCACGATCTTCGCAGAATTCCTGACGGCAGCGCCTCCGACGCGGCCGGCAGCCCACCGCCACAGGCATTAGACGTCTGAAACACAACAGGGGTAGGCGGCGGCTGTAGCGGGTTGAGTGATGGGAGGTAACTCTGCGGCATCACAATCGGCGANGAAACACAACAGGGGTAGGCGGCGGCTGTAGCGGGTTGAGTGATGGGAGGTAACTCTGCGGCATCACAATCGGCGACGGTAGCGGCAGTGGAGCGGGCAGCGCCTCGCCGGGCTTCCGCTGGACCTCTGTCTCTAACATACGCTGGATGCCACGGTGATTGTTGACCATTTCGCGCAGCTGCGATTCAAGGCGCTCCGCATCCCTTGTATGAGGGACCTCACGTGGTGTGGTGGGGCAAGGCACCGGCAACACGGACGGATTCCCGATCCCTAGAGAAATGTCTCCCCCTGCTGCAGCAGCTGCTGTTGCCAATGGTGTCACTGGTGCAAAGGGCGGCGGCGGCGGCGGCGGCGGCATCGCATCAAAGGGCGGAAGTGGCATTCCACCATTTTGGAAGGGGAGGCCGCATGAAAGCAGATCAACAGAAAAAGGCGGTGGCAGCTGGGTCTGCATGAGCGGTGGATTGGCGCCAACAACGGGGTTAAAGAGGGGCTGGACAAAACCAGTGGGCTGCTGCAGCGGCGGTTCTAGTTGCACTGGGAGAGGTTGCGGCAACGAGAGGTCGTCCTTCTTTTCTACTGAGGCACTGATGTTGGTGTTACTCTCGAGTGGCATCAGGGGGGCGTTAGTGGCCGTCCCCAGAGTCCTCTTGCTTTCTCTATCGGCCTCCCTCCTTTCCTCTTCCTCCTGCCGCCGCTTCTTCTCCTCGATTTGCCGTTTAAGGTCCTCACGCAGCTGTGCTTCACTACTCCTGTCTTTCTTATTCGGCCTCCGACCCATCATCTTCTCCTCCGCCTCGTACCGCTCACGCTCCATCTCATCCCGCTCCTTACGCCCAATATATACCCGCTGCTCCCGCGCTATCTCCTCCTGCCGCCTCTGTTCCTCCATCTCAGCTTGCCTCTGCAGCTCCCGGCGGAGACGCCGCTCCTCACAAAGCCGGGCGTTTTCATTCTGTATCTCTATTGCACGCTGCCGCGCCTGCCGCCGCGCACTGATTGGGTTGTCGTTCACCTGCGGGAACAGAGATCCCGCGCTGGTCGACGGCTGCGACCGCGGACGGATGCCATATCTACTCTCGCTGCGCGAGGGCGTGATGGGCTGCGGCATCGGTGGAAGCACCGGCGGCAACATGTGCATTGGTAGCTGCGGCACCTGCAGTGGTAGTGGCGCGGGCGACTGTGCGCTGAACGGGCGCAGGGGTAGCTGCGGTGTCGCGTTGATGTCCGCCGCTTTAAGTGCGGAGGGAAAGCGCAGCGGGGACTTCCCCACAATTGCCGGACTCGGCAAGAGAGGCGCCGCGTGCAACGGCGGAAGGACGGAGGGAAAGCTCAGCGGCTTTTGGTACCTATCACCGTGGAAGCAGTTAGCGTTGTTTTGCCACGGTGATGGGTTCACCCATGGGTTGAGCGGCGGAGAAACGTTCTCTTGCGCCCACGGCTGTGGCTGGTATATTTGCAGCGGTTGCTGTTGGGGAGTTTGTTGTGGTGCCGGCGTCCGTTGTCTGTGCCGTTGCTGTGGCTCCTGCTTCCCCCACGGGGGGATCACCTCGTAGCCTCCGTGCATGAGCCTACCGTCCCTGGCACCAATCTGCATCCCCAGTCTCCTCTGATCACCGAACTCGTACTCTTCATCGGTGTGGCCAATCTTCCCTGTGAGCTGCTGCTTCCGTTTGCGCTGTGCGAGAAGCATATTGCGCTCTACCTACTATTCGTAATTCCCTTGCTTATATATATATATATATATATATAT